TAATAAATAGTGATTGCAGCATGAAACCTGGTAGGATGAAGACTATCAAAAGGCGTCTAACATGCTTGCTGTATAATAAATAGTGATTGCAGCATGAAACCTGGTAGGATGAGGACAAAGAAAACGCTTTTCTCCTATGTTTCAACGCATGATTCAACAAGAAGCCTGTTATGAAGACGATTATAACAGGGCCTTGGGGCTTGGATGCACCAAAGTGGGTTCCGTCCCGAAAGCTCCAAGCGTTTTGGGGGTCGAGAGGCCCGGATAGGCTCTGCTGTTGGTTCCGGATACCACGTGGGCCGAATGTTGACCCCGGATGAATAACCCCCTGTTTATTAATATGGGGGTGTCCCCGGCTTTAGTGGGGATTTATCACTTTTGGAGGGGAACCCCCCCATATTCATAAACATGGGTTTATTAATCCGGGGTCAACATTAGTTGTTAAACAAAGGGGTTGAAGCCATGGTATCATACCGATCACCTTTTTCCGGTCAGTTGACAAGATATCCTTGAGAAAGTGGGTCACTTGGCCTTGGAAAACCCCTTTTTATCAGTTGCCCAAAGCAAGTCGACCTACTAAACAAGATTATTGTCCAGTTTCGGCATTTGTTGACATGGCTTCAACGCCGTTCACCTTTGAATTTTATTTCTGGGTCCTTTGCCCTACCGGCTTTTTTAAAACACGATGTCAAGCCCTTACAAAAGAAGCATGTATTTACCCTGGGAAACCGACGGTTTTCCAAGAACAAGTACTCTGAACATCGCAGGCCTTCGGAGGTTTCGGGGGGTCTGGGTTTGACTTTCCAGCCTTCGGAGCCCGGACTGAGGAATGGAGCAGGTCTACAGCAAGGAGCACAGCTTCAGCCCCTTGGGCGATCGATGGCTATGGTGAAATAGCAACCACTGAGCGGAGACTTATACCTGGGTCTTCCTAATAAGTCTGTTAAGTTTGTTTCTGCCTTTCTGGGTGAATCAGGTAAGTGGCCCCAGTGGATCCATTTGCCTGGTAAAGGTAGGTAACCAAGGGCTTGCCACGCGATATGAAAACTAAAAGCAAAGTAGCAAAGGGCTACCAACTATATGGGTATTTGGGATCTTCTGGGGTTAGGAAGCCTGGTGAAATTAGCCACTTACCTGACGTACCAAGATAGGCGATCAAGCGCGACCATCGCAACCCGAGAGCTCCAAAATACAGTGGATGGACGAAATCCATTTTGCACCGCCTAAGTAACCCTGGTTTCTGATGATTCCCCTGTAAAGGCGTCACTCGAGAATTGGTTGTCCAATTAGGGTGGTGTTCCTTTGATCTTCTAAGGACCCCCAAACGGTGTACCCATGGGCCGACGGTTGTGCGCCCTGGATTTTTTTCAGTGAAACGAGGGCGCCGTGTGGATTCCCCCGCGAAGGCGCGTGTCTTTTGTGGCTCACTCGGGTTTCACAGGAGTCGGCTGACCCGGCCATGGAACCTGAATTGGTTGGCAACGTGCCACTTCAAGGGAGCTCTGGGAATAGCCAGCCAGTCCTGGGGGCGGAGCGTGGGCTTGAGGTGCACTTGTTTGAGCTGTTTGACCCCTTGGATCGCCCAAACAAATGGGGGTGCCCTTGGGCGGTCCACGTATTTTGTTTCTGGGGTTGCCTGCTGGTATTCCGAAAACACGAACAGGGGGGTCCATTTAGAGAAACTCCGTGTGTATAGACCCGAAATCTCTATGTTGAGAACTCGGGCTCCCTTCTAAACACGACACGGTTCCGATCGGACCCTTAGAAAACACTCGTTCTCGGAGCGCCGGGGTAGGTCCCACACGATCATTTCCTGTTGCCTGGCACAGCTTGAGACGAAGGGGCCTCATGGGCCCTCATGGAAATCCTGACTTGCGCACTTGGTTTCAATGCGGGCAGCCTTGGCGATTTTTCAACCTAGGCTACAAGCAGATGCAGAACCATGCGCCGACCTCAGCGGAGTAAACCGGCCGAAGGCCACTGGTCATTTCCCCCAGGATAGCTTCTGAGAAGCCAAGCCACATCAGGTTTGGGTAGCTTGCCGCCATGGTCGACCAATCGAACTTCTGGTTTCCCCCTGTTGGTCCACGTTTTTGCCATGTCTTCAAAAGCTTCACCTTCATTTGGGGGTCCAAATTGGTTGCAACTGAGTTCTACATGGGATATTTGAGCTTTACCCTCCCACCGAACGTGGCGTGGTGCACAGACGCCTGTAGAAAGACTACTTTCCGCTTGGAAAGGGGATTTGTGAACCTCCATGTTGGGAGGGTATTAATTCCTTTCCATTTGCTTAATTATTTGTTTTGCCCTCTTGGTTTTAGAGGGAATCGATTTCACTACTGGACATCTGTTTTTATTTTTCCAGGGGTCGAAAACGCAAATGGAAATCCCTCACCATCACTGGGTCACTCGCCTCTCTGAGTTCGTGACCATGGACCTCTGGTCCGTCAGCAAGATGCAGTTCAACACTCTCTTGGGGACCGTTGCGGCCTCAGCGACGGGACGAGGCAACGGCCCCGGTCACCCACTTCAGCCCGGCCCAACAACTTATGTTGTAGACTCCCTCGGATTTTTTCTTTAAAATAGAAGCCTAACAAAGGTACCCTCAAAATGAAACCCATCTAGTAATTTGTGGTGGTGTCATTGCTGGTTTGGTCTGGTTGGTTTTTATTCACTTGGTGCTGCCTTGCTGCTTTGTTAGGCGGGCTGATTTGCCTTAGCTTACTACATGTATGGGTGGGTCTTTTCACGAGGGTAGCTGTTTCTTTGGTCGTCCGGTCTTAAAGGGAAACCAAAAGGAAACCACCATTTTGGAGCATCCCCTAAAACAAGACACTCCCATTTTCTAGGTGATTTTGTTTCTTTTACAAAGAACAAATTTCAGTCCTTTGGCCGAAAAAGCACTTTTTCACTGCACAAGTATCGTGTCACATTTGTGGTCAGAGAAAGTCGCCGTTTGGCGGGGTGTGTGGCCGCGTTTGGTCGTGGAATCTCGCCGTTTCGCCTTCGTGGTTTTGCCTTCGTTTCGGGTTCTGGAGGCCAAGCGCAGCTTCTACGACCTCGCCAACGACAACGCCACTGGGCGATTCCGAAAGGTTGTGTTTTTCTCCTTGCCTGGGGATTGGTTGCGACTCCCCGAAACACAGCGCCCCAGGAAAGATTCCCCCGGGGTCGCTGGGTGTTTGTTTCCTTTTCCTTACCTCTTAAACACACAACTTTTCTCAACTTTTTGGGGGCAACTATATGTCTGTAAAAGATGAGAACTTCCCCAGGGCTTGGAGTTTTAAGGTGTAAGTTTCGCTTTGGATCTCTCCACCCCTTAGCCCCACCGCCGGGGCCCCAAAGCTTTGTCTTCCCCCAGCACCCGCCCTTTGACCGTTTCTTTTCTGGCGGAGGGTTTCCCTGCCAAAATAGACCACGGAAAGAAAAAAAAGAGTTGGTACCCTGATTCTAACCTCTCTACTGGAGGACCTTCTGTGGATGGACCAAATCTTGCACCTGAAAGCCATGGTTTGTTGGTATGTGGGGAATCGAAATTCATTCCAGGGTTTCTGATTCCGATGATGCAAAATGGATTTAAATATGGCTCAAAGTTAAACAGGAGGGGTTACGCAGATTTTGGTCCATGTTTCCACTTACCAGAATTCCATTTTGGAATTCCTGTGTTTTGAGCCACAGCCATTTCGCAATCCTCAGTAGTTGTGGTTTCCGGGAGGTGTATCAGACCATCGGCGTCAAAGCCGCCGGCGCCGGCGGCCCGGGCCAAGCCAAGGCAGCGTCTTTAACCGGCGCGTTTCGCACCGCAGGTTTTGGGCAAAATTGAGACAGAGACGGTTGCACTCAGCGGATGTTCCTTAGTACATCCGGGAACAAAAGCAAAAAAACACACCTGATTATTTTAGATTTGAACATGTTGCTGTTGGGTTCACTTCTTTCCGAGCTCCTTACAAGATACATGCAAAACTATGTGCTTTACAAGGAAGTCTTTCAAAAGAGCTGGCATTTGCGGTGATTGTTTTCTGGCAGAAATGTATCCTTGGGCCTTTGCTCCAGGTCCCCCTGCCAACATGAAGCCAGACTTGTTTGAACAGAAACAGATGTTGGTGGCTCCATGTTTATTCTCACACAGCCAGTGGACACACTTTACACTTTTTTCATTGGTGGCTCTCCCTTTATTTTAGTGGTGGCCCAAAAAGTGTACACTTGTTTGGGCTGGTCACTAGCCACATCAAACCGTGAAGGTTCAAAGTGGAGAATGCACAGAATATGCTTGACTCACTGTCCAAGGGCGGCGACCTTTCACTTTTTGGTTTTCCCTTGTGGTCCATGAAATGCCGCTTCTGTAATTGAGTGGTCTTTCTAACCTCCATGGCTCAAAAAAGACATAGCTGAACATTGCCTCTAGAGAAAGGAGTCGAATCCTTGCCAGGCAGCGGCGGCTGGGGGAGAGGAGGACAAGAAGGGCTTCCAGATTGGCAGCGTCTTCGTCCAATGCCTCTGTTCCGAGGTGGGGCCCAGGGGTAAGGGGTTGGACGGGACGTGGGAGGGAAGTGTTTTGCCTTGGCCAATCCCCTTGATGTCTCACACGGGGTGTTTGCTACTTTGTTTTCTCTCTGCCACTTGGAGATGAAACATCTCTAACTTGGGGAGACATTTTTTAGGGCCAAGTTTCTATAACTTGATAGAGATCCCTCCAAGTGGTGCACGGGAGGGCGAACTCGGCTTCACTGGACGCAGGTGATGCGCTTCGACATCGCTGCGGCCTCAGGCTGCACCAATTCATCTTGTTTTGTAAGGAATCCATCCCACCCACCCACCCACCCACCCACCCACCCACCCACCCACCCACCCATCCACCCATCCATCCTTCCATCCATCCATCCATCCATCCACCCACCCATCCACCCATCCATCCTTCCATCCATCCATCCATCCATCCACCAATCTAGACCCCCATACGCACCCTGTTTCTTGTATTTTTTAAGCCAACGAACCTAAATCAAGGAATCCCTGCGTGAGGGACCTCGAAGGAGCAGAATCCTCTTCTTTTTTCTCCTGGGGAAGGAGCGCGTTTTCATTGGCGACTGGCCTTGAATCCACTGGCAAAAAGTGAAAAGTCTTGCTGGTTATTAAGCTTCCAGTGGCTGAAATGAAGATGTTCTGGTTATCCCCGGTGGGTTTTTTAAGGGAATCGATTTCACTGCTGGACATATTTTCCTATTTTTCCCAGGAGACTTAAAGCAAACGCCAGGCATACATGCATACATCATAGATCCACACATTCAGCCAGGTAGCAACTCATATTGTTTGTTTGGGGCTTTCTTGGGTTCCTTTTGGGGACCATTTCCAGGGGGTCCAATTCCTTTAGGGAATCGGCACCTGACATCCACACATCCAGTCAGCAGGTTACACATCCATACATTCGCAATCCTTCCATTTTTCCAGTTTCCAGGGTCTCTGTTGCCCAGTGGCGCCCTTTTTTTCCTTGTTTTTGGGCAAGGGTTCCCTTTTAATCCCAGCCAACCCGAAAAAAGCGGATGCCCTTGTCTTCCCCATCAAAACTCTGGGCATCTGAGGGTACATCAGATCCCGCTGCGGTCAAGGCGCTGAACAACTGGCAGTTCCTGCCGAAGCCAGAGCTGGTGGACAACACGAGCAAGAAGAAGCTGCGCATCGCCATCCCCACCGGCTCGGGGGCCTTAAAACGAAATGGATCTAGCCTTTGTTGTTGGGAAACATTTTGCATTTTTGCTTGTGGTTCAGTGGGAAATCCCCACTTAACTGCTAAAATTATGTTGTTGCTCCCCTTCCAACGTCAACCAAGTATGGACTTGTTGGTTCTGGCATGTTCTGGCATATTTGTGGGTCTTCAGAAAAGGCCAAGCAGCAGCTGCCAATTCCACCAGGTAATTACCAGCTGGACCCTCAAACTACCCAGGGGTGATTGCCCCAAATTTGTGGTTACTGAGTTGCAGGTTTGTTTAGGTAGTTTGCGGGTCCAAGGACCGCAACGATTCCAGGTTACTGGGGCGATAATCTTCGCATTTGTCAGGAGGACCCTAGTGATCAGAGGAACCCGCTATAGTTCATTTCCTTACCAAAAGGGGAGCCACTCCTGATTAGCACGGATTATGAATAATAACCTGACAACCATCAGAGCCATCTTGTTAGAACCAAGAGTCATTGGATATTGTGCGCGCAATTGAGATAAGACCAGACCCGTGTGGCTTCTTTGCTTTGGCATTTCTTAATTGAGGTTGGGGAATGGATGGGCAACGGTCAATGTTGTGGGCCTTTCTGTGTTTGAGGGCACTTGTTTTTGACTTTTTTAAGGGAAACCAAACGGGCACACCGCCCATGTTATCTTGCTTTGAGAAGGGGGAGAGCATCATGTCTTTATGGCCATTTGGATCTTCGGATTTAATTTTTTGGGAGACATTGGATTGTCCAGCCGACCCACAAGAAGTTAATTAAGCTTTTCGCAGTGCAAGTGCCCAGAGAGGATTTCAACCCCGACGCGGCTTATGCTAAATCCGTTGATCCCCTGTTTGTGTTTTTTGCCGTTGCTTGTGAGGAACCCACATCCTTCAAGTTTGCTCCAACTGAAAAGAAGGCTCCTTGGGAATGGGGGGCAGTACAGCTGCTTTACCTAAGTCAGATAAGTTTGGATTATGTATGCTGGGTTGGATGGGCTCCCAGTCTTTGGCGCCAAAAAGGCTTGGCCACTGAGTTTGAAGCATTCTGTGAGCATCTTCTGGGCTCCCTGTCCACTTGGAGAAGCCCACGGATCTAGGCGTTGATTCCTTTTCCATTCTTTGCAATCATCGGATTTTTGTTTTCAACATCCGGATCCGTTTCCCCTGGCTTGTTGCTGGTGTCCTGAAAAGATTCGGACCCCTGGAAAGACCTTCAAAAGGAAGGTACCCCTAGAACGGAACCCCTTACCTCTTAAAAACACCAAACTTTTCTCAACTTTTTGGGGGGTAACATGGGCTAGAGGGCTGTAAAATATTTTCACTTCCCCAGGTGGCTTGGAGTCTTAAGGAAGGAAGCCGCGTCTTTTCCCCCGGTTTCTTTGTGGCTCGAGCCCCGAGGCCCGAAGAAGGGCAACGACACCTTCGAGACGGACGCCTGCGAGCCACCCATGTACAGCTGGGCCCGGGCTTGGCGCCCCAGACGTCCATCGGATTTCTCGGCGCGGGCCGACAGAAAATCGGATCTCGTCCCCAAAACGGGTGGCGAATCGGCTGGGTAACACCGAGTCCCAGCAATTGGTGCCCTTTCTCTCCCCTTTTTTGGTTGGGAGATTCGGTTCCCCTGCCAAAATAGACGGCAGAAACAAGAAATGGTTTCCTTATTCTAACCTCTCGACTGGAGGACCTAGGTTTCCTTCCCATCCTACAAGAAGGAGTTCAAATCTAAATCCAAGCCTCCAAGCTCAATTCCAAATCCGAAAAACAATCCACGCCACCAACTAAGGGTCCAAACTTTGGGAAAGACGAAGTAAGCAGAAGTTCTGGTTGAAAGGCTGATCCAGAAATGAACCTAATCCATTTTAATAACCCCCCCCTCCCCCCTATGAATAGGACGGGTTCAAACAAATCCGGGGTCAACATCAGATTCACCAGGCTCGAGTTCCAGGTGGTCCGGATGTACATCCACCAGCGTTCCATTGCTTGAAGGGCAAGCGCCCCAAAGCCCAGTTCGGAAAATGGGCTCGAAGCTTCGGTTAGCTTTTTTGCTTCTTCTTTTTGTTCTTTCTCTTTTCGGGGGGATGTATCTGAACGGGTTGTAGGGTTGATGGGGGTCCACCCCGTAATCTCACCTATTTCCAGGCACCCTGTGGGATGCTGTGTGTGTGTGTGACCTGGCACGACTTTTCGGTTTCCCCTTAGTCCCTTGTCAATGGCCCCCAAATGTGGCTGATCACATCCGACTTCTGGGTCCTTTCCAAAGGGGGTAGCAAGTAACTGGCGAGGGGTGGAGAATCCCCCAATGTCGACGGGCCTGCTTCATCATATGCTTCGTATTTTTGGGGTACCGCCGAAGACCCGGCATTTTTGTTGTTGGCATGTTTGGGAAGACCGATCAGCAATGGTATTGTCCGCCTTGTTTCCTGGACGACCCCTTTTTTCTGCCTTTGACCAAAACAACAGGGGTAGAAAGGCAGAAAAAGGGGTCCTTTGGGGTCCAGGTTAGCAAATGGTTGACATCATACAATAATTATCATTCAGACTCAACAAAGTGGGTACTTGGTGTAGGCAGTGTAGGCCAAGTACGGAACATGATTTTGGTGTGCCCGCAACTTCTTTGCCGACGTATTGAGCATGCTCCGCAAAGAGTTGCGTCGGACAAACAGCACGAACTGCTCACTCCCTGAGTTCGGTTTCGGACTTCACTCACTTTTTAGGGGGACCATTTCATGGCAAACAACAAGCTTCGGGCCATGTTTTGTCCTTCTTTGCTCAGGAAGCGAGATGTGTTGCAAACAAAACTAAGTCGCCCAGCTAGGTGCCCTTTGACCAAATTCAATTAGTGGTTTTTCCCTTTTGTGGGGAAGACTAGATAAATGGACTTGGGTCCCGGACCCCCCACCCCCCTTCCCCTTTTTCGGTAGGGGGGATTGTCTGGGTGTGGAGCGTTTTTTTTTTTTTTCCCGCGCAGGGCGGCATGTTCTGCTACAAGGGCACGAAGGTGGGCGCCGGCGGGCGCCGACCACTCGACGTCACTCGTCCGTGTGCCCTGAGAAATGAATCGGCCATCCGATGAATCCCAGCAGATGAAGCGGCGAAAAGAGTAGATGGAATGTGGACATCACGCGTCATTTTTTTTGGGCACCACCCATTTTTGGTCGGGATTTTAGTGGGAATTGGCATGTTCACTGGGGGTACGGGATTTTCTTCCAAACCATCTACACTAAGTGTCCTCGCCAGAGGGCTTCGTATGCAGAACCCGGGATCCCCGTACACCCCAAGCTGCTTTAGGGGTGTCAAATGGACATACTGTGGATGGACAAAATCCTTGACCACTTTGAAGCCGTGGTTGAAACCATTGTGTGTTGGTGTTTACAGTTTACAGTTTCTTGGGTGGTGCAGGATTTCGTCCATCCACCGTATTTTGAGGAATTCCCCAAATTTGATCAAAACCCTTACGGTAGCTCAAAGGACTCATGACCTTTGGTTTGGATTCTGCGATGTGGCCGGCGAATCCAACGGCTTTGAGGCAAAGGAAAAGCCCCAAAGGCAGAGTCGCAGGAAAACAGAATCTCGTGGCTGTTCTCTGCGCGCATTCCTTTCTTCTAGCGAAGTTCTCACTTGTCCAAAGCGCAACTCCAAGCGAAGCTTGGAAGAGGACGGTGGACAGAAGAGTCAATGTTTCAGGTAGCCTTTCGGTTTTCCCATGTTGGGCTTCATTTTCTTTTGTAAAGGTCCCCCAAAGGTGATCTCAAATTCACCCTCCCACCAGCCAACATGTAAGGGCTACTTTCCTCTTGGAAAGGGCCTTTTTGCACGTCCATATTAGTTGGTGGGAGGGTATTGATTGGCCCTAAGGCCCTACGGGGCAGCTGAGTGTTTCGTGTTTGCCGAGACTGCTGCATGTTGAGCTGATGACTTCAGAGAACCGGCCGGTGGCACCTGTCCCAAGTGTGGCGGGAAATCCCCGTTATGCGCAAAGAGGCCAAGCAGTCGGGGCAGTGTGAGACAGCATTGCATGACTAGCTGGGCTTTGACCAGCTTTTTTGGTGGAGGGTTCCCCTACTAAAATAGACTACAGAAAACTAGACCACGGTTGGCCCGAAAGCAGAACATCGCAAGCGAGGTCGGCCCAACGCTGCAGGATGCGTTCTTTTTCCCTACACTTCGTGAAGCAAGCGCGAGACAGCACCAGGCAAGGTGCTCTGCGCAAACTGGTCGGTGCAAGTTGGTCTGCGCAAGTTGCTCTACGCAAGTTGCACTGTGCAAGTTGCTCTGCGCAAGTTGCTCCGCGCAAGTTGCTCCGGCAAGTTGGTCCCTGCAAGTGGCTCCCTGCAAGTTGCTCTGTGCAAATTGCGCTCCCTGCAAGTTGCTCTGTGCAAGCTGCTCTGTGCAAGTTGCTCTGTGCAAGTTGCTCTGCGTAAGTTGCTCTGCGCAAGTTGCTCTGTGCAACTTGCTCTGCGCAAGTTGCTCTGCGCAAGTTGCTGTAAAATGCAAGTTGCATCTTGCGACGCCCGCCCGCGGACCAGGGAGGAATCGAACCCGCGACCCGCCGGTTCCGGGAGCAGGCGCGCGAACCACGAGACAACTCCCGAGGACCAGTTCGAACAACAAAAGTCGCAAAAAACTCGAGTTTTTGCACCTCGACCACGCCGATTCCCGCAGAGGGTCGCGCGAGCAGGTTAGAAATCGCAAAACACCATGGGTTTTTGCACCTCGACCACGCCGATCCCCGCAGAGGGTCGCGCGAGCACCGCAGAAATCGCAAAAAACCATGGGTTTTTGCACCTCGACCACGCCGATCCCCGCAGAGGGTCGCGCGAGCAGGTTAGAAATCGCAAAAAACCATGGGTTTTTGCACCTCGACCACGCCGATCCCCGCAGAGGGTCGCGCGAGCAGGGCAGAAATCGCAAAAAACCATGGGTTTTTGCACCTCGACCACGCCGATCCCCGCAGAGGGTCGCGCGAGCAGGATAGAAATCGCAAAAAACCATGGGTTTTTGCACCTCGACCACGCCGATCCCCGCAGAGGGTCGCGCGAGCAGGTTAGAAATCGCAAAAAACCATGGGTTTTTGCACCTCGACCACGCCGATCCCCGCAGAGGGTCGATTTTCGTGTAGTGTCGTCGGCACTACCCCGCCGCCCTAAGAAGAGATTTTAACTCCTCGCAAGTCAATTGCACTTGACTCCTTGCACTTGCAACTTGCACTTGACTCCTTGCTTGTTTCAAGGAAGGAGTCATTGCAAGGAGTCATTGCAAGGAGTCATTGCAAGGAGTCATCATTGCAAGGAGTCATTGCAAGGAGTCATTGCAAGGAGTCATTGCAAGGAGTCATTGCAAGGAGTCATGAGAGCCAATTGCAAGTTGCAAGTGCAAGTGCAAGTGCAAGTGCAAGTGCAAGGAGTCAAAGTGCAGTCAAGTGCAAGTTGCAAAGAGTCAAGTGCAAGTGCAAGGAGTCAAGTGCAAGTTGCAATCCTTGCCATGACTCCTTGCAATGACTCCTTGCAATGACTCCTTGCCTTGCAATGACTCCTTGCAATGACTCCTTGCAATGACTCCTTGCATGACTCCTTGCAATGACTCCTTGCAATGACTCCTTGCAATGACTCCTTGCAATGACTCCTTGCAATGACTCCTTGCAATGACTCCTTGCAATGACTCCTTGCAATGACTCCTTGCAATGACTCCTTGCAATGACTCCTTGCAATGACTCCTTGCAATGACTCCTTGCAATGACTCCTTGCAATGACTTTTATGATGGTTCCTTGCAATGACACCTTGTAATGACTCTCATGAGAACAACTCAAGTGAACCCAGCGGAAGAACCCTTCGCCATGCTTTCGGGAAAAGGGTACCCTTATTCTAACCTCTGTGCTGGACCTACATGCCTGGGGCTTGCTTGAGGTTAGCACACTCACGGGATAGAAAAGATTGCTTGTACCTGCATGCATCGGACATACCAGCCAACAACTTGCATGGCTATCCATCAAAGGGTTATTGGCCGATTTTATGGGATTCTTTCCCTTATGGATAGTTTACGGGCACACTAAAGCTCAACATATTAACTGCAGGCTTAGTGATTCAAACCCCGATTGCGTCAAGGAGTTCCCTTTGCTGCAAAAAATCAAAAGCGAGCTTTGGTAGGAGAGCCTGAACAACGAGGTGATGGCCATCGAAGCACCTGCCTTGGAACTCTTGAGCCAAAGAGGGGAGCTGGAAGTACGTTGCTTGCCAAAAGATGGCCGCCTTTTAAAGGGGATACCAGCAAAAACATGACAACCCCAGCAACCTCTTTGAAACGGAATACCAAAAACGAAGAAGCCCTAATTTTCACAACCCCCAGTTAGTCTGCAGAGCTCATTGGTCCAAGTTCCATGTTGATTGGGGGCGAAGCATTATCCTGGAGAAGCTTCCCGAGTTCATGCTGATTGTTTTTGTTGTTTGTTCTTTTCTTTTTTTTTGGGGGGAGGAGGTAGGCTACTTTAGTGACAAAGACAAAGTTTGGAGTTCTCTTGGCCAACTGTTTGGCTTCCAGTTCCCTTTCAATCCACCCTTTTGTTGGCTAAATGAGGTTATGTGAAATTCCCCCCCCCCCCCAATTTAGGTTCGAGTGTTCAACTTTGAAGTCTGGGTCAACCCATCACCTTAGTTGAACAAGTCCACTTTGGTTGCCCTTGGCTAAGTGAGGTTATGTTGAATGGCCCCCTTCCAACATGTAGAGGTTTGAGTTCTGTTCGAGCGAGGTCCCGGCTGTTTCACCGCACCGAAACCTCCAAGCATGCTTGTTGTCGGGAAAATGTACTTTTGTGTTTTTTATTTTTGTGGTTTAGTGGTTGAAATCCAACCACTTATCTTTTTTTGCTCCCCTTCCAAAGTCCACCAAGCCAGCCGCACGCTCGAGGTGATGAAGCAGCAGGGCGGCGCCTTTGTGAGCCAGGGCAAGGCCCCGCAGCCCGCAGCCGAAGAGAACTACGGACCGAGCCGAAGAAAGGAACTCACTGCTTGACTGCTTGAGGGCGCCTTTTTTTGGGGGGTGAACTGGGGAGTAGTTAGTTGGTTCATCAAGCTTAGTTGCACACAAGAAGTGTGGGCCATAGGTGTCCTTCTTGGTTGCTTTGGTGAACAAATAGAGGGCGATTCCTGGTTTACCTGGGGGTTTAATCATCTACCAGGGCCATCTTTTTGCCCCAAAAGGACACCTATGGTTGGATCTTTAGACTTTAACTTTTTGGTTGAAATCAAGGGGTTTTCCACTAGAGCAACCAAGACTGAACACGGGAAGTCTGCCATGAACTTGGTTGGCAATAACTGGCAAGAACCCATATTTTGTTAGGGGAATATTTGAGGGTTCAGGTATGCAAGAAAGTAGTTGAGTGGTTTCCCATTGTGGTAGTTCTTTTGGGTACAGCGGCTTGTGTTTTGTGAGGCTACCCTTTTATAAGGGGGACCATAGGAAAGCCTTGTTCTTTGTCCCATTTTTTTCCTGCACAATGTTTATCAAAGTATCAGCACCTCACCACGATTTTAACCATGCATCGAGCTTTGGGGAGATCCGGCTTGAAATTGGCCAGTTGGGTTTGAAAAGTCAAGCTCAACTGGTTATGGTGAGTGGTTTCCATTTTGGTAGTTTTTTTTTAGGGGAATATTTGAGGGTTCACTGGTCTCAGTTTGGATTCGATCCATCGATTTCAAAAGGGCGGCCCTGGAACGGTTTCCTCCACATGGCACCGCTGGCTTGGCAGGCAGCCAAACCCTTAGTTGGCGGTTTGGATTGGTAGTTTGCGGGGATTCGAACCGCCGGCTTTTTGTAGAGGGAAGAAGGTGTTTGTATTGATAAACAGGGGTTATTGGAAAATTATCGACGTGATATTATTGGTAGTGATAAAGTATTTGAAACACCACTTGGAAAGAACACATGTAGTATATTGTGTTTGGACAGCATCTGGTAAACAATTAAAATGTATTGCAACATATATTAGTAATCAAGTATCATAATTACAACTGGGACACCCCTCCTTAACCCCCCAGACAACGCTCCAAATTCCACCCGTCTTAAGGAGGGAAGCTGAAAGAGGTAAAATGGAGGTCCAACAAAATTTTGGGGTCGGACGAACAGGTCCCCTTTCAATAGGATGAATCCGAGAGCTGTGTTGCGTTTTGGGCCGGAAGTCTCAACGTCTCATCCGGTTTTTTCCCAACGTGCCAAGAATACAACGCGTTTGTCTCCTGAAAAAGAAACAGTAGTGATAGATTCCCTTTCAAACCAACACGGGAACATATAAGTATATTCTTTTGCAAATTGGAAGATTGGATCGAGTACTGGTTACCCCTGATTAGTAAAGGGTCCCCGCTTCAAGGTCAACAGGGATAGGACAAGCCCCCAATGAGGTTTTTGCCTTCACACCCATCGGTCCTCGTCCTTTTACTTCGGGCCCCCTCCCAGCCGATGGAACCCCTTCTGGGCAAAAGGACTTTGAATGGTGGCGGCAGTTCTTGTTTTGAGCCAGAAATATCGCGAGGGGAGGGTTCTCCTCGTGGGGGGCTAGGGGTTCCCCTTTGTCAGTTTGAACACCTTTCTAGGTTGATTCCCCATTCTTTTCACCCATCGTTCTTTGCAACAACCCCAGGGTTGTGGGTGTTCTTTTTGGAAAGAAGGATGCCTGGAAAGAATGGGGAAATTACCCCTAGAACCTTGTCATTTAAACAAACTCGTGTAGAAAGCAGGGCTCCTTAAAAGATACATTTTGCCCATTTGAATCATGGCTTTTTCCACCAAAAAAAGGGAAACCACCATTTACAAGGCAATGTTCAGGTGTATATTGCAAGGATCCCTGGAAAGAAAGGCACTTTTGTGGGGTTTCTGACCTGGCCTGTCGCCAGGCTTTAGTGGGCCTTCGGGGCGCCATCGACTATCCCATCGCCGTGGGCGTCGTCGCTCGCCAGCCAGGTCTTCCATGTGCTGAAATGAATGTTTTTTTTTTTTTGTTTTTTTTTGTTTTTTTTTTTTTTTTTATATTGTTTTTTTTGTTTCTGATTTTGTTTTGTTTGTTTTGTTTGTTTGTTTGTTTGTTTGTCCTACTTGAGTATGTGGTCAGCCACTTGGTTTTTGTTCATCCTAGCAAGGTTGATCCCACATTTACGGGGGACTTATGATTGGAGTTATAGCCTGGGTGACCCGTACAACTTACTGACTTGAAACTTAACACCCAAGTATGGCTCCCTTGTTTATTGTCTTTGACTTCTCTGGTTACCCCACTTTATGCGCGGTTCACACCTTTATCGTGAATCAGGAAGGCATTCGGGGTCGTTTGCCAAAAGGGGTATGCAAAATTAACTTCCTGAGTTCCTGCACTTCAATCTTTTGGGGAAGACCATTTTGGTGGCCACCAATGTTCGGACTTTGTTTGGCCAATCCACTCGATCGGAGGTGAGAAAAGCATGCTCCAACCGTGGCTTTGCCCGCGCCAAGGTAAAGACCTTGACAACGAAGGCCGCGGAGTATGTGCCCGGGGCCCAGGGTAGCTCGCCCGTTCCTAGCTCCGCACCCGCAGATGCCAGACAAGTTTGGCTCAGTCTTTCTGGCCAGCTTGGACGCACTTTTTTGAGGTGCTGGACTCTCAACCTTTTTGGGGTGGGGCCATTTTAGCGAAGAGGTTTGTTCACTTTTTCGGTTGCCAACATTTGCTCAGGAACTTTCGAAGTGAGTGGATGCTCAACCTACGCGCAAATCGCACACTTACAACCATTGCAATCCGCGACTAAGCGGAGTGAAGACCCAGCAGAGACTCAGTGCCACTGACCCTGGTGATAGCCTACTTTTCCCTCCATTTGCTTAAGGATATGTTTGTAGTTCTCCAGTGGTTTTCAAGGGAATCTACACTACTGACATACTGTGGATGTGCGCAACCCTGCACCAGTTGGTAGGTCCTGGTAGGTTTTATCGGATTATTTATAGGGTTCCATCTATCCCACCTGGTGCGAACCGATTTTTGTCCACCTTCGCCTTCCAAGGGCAACTGCTGATGGAAAATCAGCCAAGGGCAACTGCGGACTCACTCTCAGAGAGCATGTTCTTTGTGTAGAATTTGAACACGTCAACTAAGCCCCCGGCTCCCTTTCTTTGAAGGGTCCCTTAGTCTCAGGGTCCTTCTTGATTTTGCTCTTGGTTTCAATTGGACAAATCAGCCAAGGTCAACGGCTTTTTCATCTTTCGGAAATTCTGGTAAACACATCTCCCGGACAAGACATTTGCTTGTTCATTTTCATTGGATCACCAGCCAAGACCAACGGCTTGCTTTTTTTTCCCACTTTTTTTTTTCTCGGGGTTTTGGTTCCCATGGTTTTTCCTTTGGACCACCGCCAACACGGCGCCTGTGCTGCGCGCCATAGGCAGGGCCGGGCTGGGGGCTCCATCTCCATGTCGATGCGTTCTATGGCGCTGAAGGCGCGCGCCTTCGGGACAGATCCAGCGAGGTGTGCCCCGCTTTGTTTGGGGGTAAAATGCACTCACGGCATCGCTTTGCCTTATGTTTTATTTGTTTTAATGTTTAAAGTTGGAGAAAGAGAGGGTTAGCCTCAGGCTTCTTGTTTAACAAAGAGCTCGGAGAAAGAGAGAAAGAGAAACGGAGAGAGAGAGCGAGAGAGCAACGCTCAACAACAGACATGACATCCTCTTTGCTAGTAGCTTTGTTAGTATCTCGTCTCTTGAGCCTCCCTGTGTGTTGGTGGGAAAGGAAAGAGCACACATAATGCAGGAAAGCCTAAGATGTATCCCACCTACCCCCACGGGGTATATACCCTTTGCGTAATGATCATGTAGTTGCTGTATATCCTATGAGATCTTTGGGGGTTGTGGTTTTTATGGAACGCATCTTCCCAAGGGTCCTGATGGAATTTGGGGCCTCAAAATATGTCCGTTTGACGCCCCTAAAGCAGCTTGCTGTGTGGTACAGGGATCCCGGGTTCTGCAAACCAAGGCCCCAGGACCCTTTAGGTTAGACATGAATTCCTTTCAGACATCTGCTCGCAGGTAAGGGCCAGCTTGGAGCCTTGAAAAGGGAAAAGCCACCCAGAAAACCCCTTTTTGAAGGCGCACTGGGTGGCTCGTCTTTTTTTAGCCCCCCCCCTTCAAAAGCCTGGTGTGCCTTTTAGTGCCCAACAGGGTACCAAGCCTCAAAAAAAAAGACCTGGCTTGAATTCAGCTTCGCATGAATAACCGACGGCGAGGCCAGGGCCGACGCGCTTGATCCGTCTCCCAAAGGCCTAGGAAGCGTCCGCGGTCAATGGCATACGTGCCCAAAAAGGAAGACACGAGGACAGTAACTTCTATTTCAGCCATCAGGCAAACTAGCGCTGTGGGAGCGAAAATTGCCCAGACCCTAAAAACTTGCCGGGGCGGTGGGTTGGGAATGACCTTCCGGGTTTTGGGAATGACCCGGAAGGGGATTCGCTTGAATGAAGCGACAGGGGATGGTTTATAGGGGGCAGTCCATGTCTCATTCCATGCCTATCGAACCAGCCAGTCTTGTTTTGTTTGGGTGCGGGCGATTGGGCGAATCGCCAACTGCCACTGGTTCCCGCGCCCACACGTGCCAGCCTGGACAAAACGACGAGGAGCCGGGAGTTTCTGCGTGACGTGGGCAGTGTGGCGGGCCCTTCTTTGGGATACGCCGCAAATGAACATGGAATCTGTCTATTTTATGGCGAGCTCACTTGGGCATGAAAAATAAGCTCGCGATGTAGGTTCGTCACCGGGGAATCCCTCAACACAGGTATTGCAATGACGGCAATGGCAGATGGAATCCAACAAATGCTGTCCGGAAGGAATTTTCACTAAACTTGATTGCTTGTGGGTTGGATTTTTAGGCTTTAGCTCACAAAAAGTGATTCACTTTTTGCAGAGAGTCCTTGCAGCAACCAAGTAAAGACGGGTCGTTGCTCCGTTGCTTTTGGATCCCTTTCAGTGGCCAGCACAAACCTATGAAGTGACCTGTCCTCAACCCCCCAACTAAAAATGCTACTCCAAAATCGAATACCCGCATTGTTTGGAAACCGATCGGTTTTCCATGCGACATACCGATCTCTGTTTTAGTAATCACAAGGTTGACATGATAACCTGAACAAAGTTGGTATTTGGAGTAGGAGGTTCCCTCTAAAACCAGCCAACCACAAAAACATGAGGCTTCCTTCATGGAAATCCCCACAAAAAAAAAAAAAAACGTTGGTAGTTGGATCTTCCGGGGAAGTTGGAGCTTTCAGGGGGCATGGACTTCGCATGCGGAGAAAGAAAGAACGCCCTACCAGGACTCCTCGATCCCGCGGCCCATGCAAGACATTACCTCGCTGGGGCCCAGGAAGAGAGCATCATAGGGCTACCGTCCATGTCCATTCTTTCCAGGGATCCGAATCTTTTCAGGATGCCAACAAAAAACCAGGGGAAACGGATCCGGTTTTTGAAAAGAGCGATGGTTGAAAAGAATGAGGAATCAACCCCTAGAAGCATAAAGAAATCATAGCAGGGGTCCCGATAGATTTCCCTTTCGGAGGTTGCAATCATCGCCTGTTCGACTCATTTAAGGCGCCCCCTAGTCCAAATACCCACCTTTTTTTCGGGTAGCATGTCAATCCCTGACCACAAAGAAAGAGGCATGTACCCTGGCAAACCGGGTTTTGTCAAAACCAAAGCCAACTAAAAAACAGGTCTAACTGGTCCGACATTTCTCTTTTCCATGTAGAGGCTTTGCACCATTGACCATGTGTTGCTCCCGCCGAGGGGAACCACTGGTCCGACTACTTCGTTTGCTTTCTAAACCTTCTGTTTGCTTAAGAATATTTGTTTTCTCCCTTGTTGGTTTTAAAGGGAATCTAATCTAGCACTACTTTTTGTTTTAAGGGGTCTTAACCAAATGGAAGAAACCGGTGCTGTGAGGTTGACCATGTACTACCTCCAGGGCAATGTGCAGCACCTGGTGGTGATCGCCGGTGGCCTCAGCTCAGTTGCGGCGAACCATGGCTTCCCAACTTGGGGGAGGTGCTGAAAGGGGGAGGCTGATCATTTTCGTGCGCGTCCCATCGTCCAGGCTCTTTACTGCAAAAACCCTCTTGGAAAGAATCCGCCAGCTGCAGGATTCTCCCCAGCTTAAACCGACTCTAGTGGAATCGCTTTAGCTCATAGACCTTCTTGGCAAACGAATTCCCGACACATCAACATGGAACCCCAAAAGCTATAGAAGGAGCTACCATTCCAACTGACATGGGCATTATATACCATGCGCAAACAAAATTGAAGCCAGTCAAAAAGCATAACCTTTTCATAACGAAACGGCTCCAGGGACCCGTTTTGCCGGTTTTCCCCTCCCGTTTCCAAAGGCCAATAGTCAACAACACTCGCCCTTTCACACCAAAACGGGTGCAGGGACCCGTTTTGTTGGTTTTCTTTTTTCGTGTTCGAAGCTGAGGCCAATATGGCAGATGGTCTGCCGGTGGCCGACCCCGACTACGGGTCCTCCAACCCGCAGGGCGCCAAGGTTTGGGTGGTCTGTGGTACTTAAAGGGGGAAGGGCACTTAGTAAGTGGTTAGTAGGCCTGGTTTCCCCTTACTTTCAGTTTGTATTTTTGGTTGAAAACCGATCGGTGTTCTACGGGAAATTCCGCTCCTTTTTTTAGTACAGGGTCGACATGATAATTACCCTGAAAAAAGCAGGTCTTTGGGGGGTATAACCCCTTTGGGAGACTTATAACCATGGATGAAAGTGGATTATAACCATTGTTATTATCCACATACTAAGTACCCCGCCTTCTTAAGTACCGGATCGACCCTTTCGCACCTAGGAAACTTCCATTTGGGTGGCTCGGTTTTTTAGGGGATCCACTAAAATGGCTTCAGTTGTCCAGTCGGCGTCCGCTTAAACACCGCAAAATAATGGTACCTTCAAGAAAGACACCCCCCCATGCTTGCCGCTACTATCCTTGATAGGGGGTTATGACCCAAGTGGCTTGCTAACTTAGCCGAACATTCAGGGGGCAACTGAATGCATCATGACAAAAACGAAGACGGCGGCCAGAACCATTTTGGCCATTGGGCAAGCAACGAGCTCACTGTTTGTGTTTCGTAGAACATGATGTACATGTGGTTTTATGCGCATGTGTCCTTTTGCAGGGAACCCCTCCAACAAAAGTGTAAATAAACAAGTAAAATGAACATGTGGATTTCGCCCTTTACCACAACCACCAAACAGATACCCAGAAAGAGAAAGGATCCCCCATGTCTGGCTTGGGGCTTGGGGATTTGTAGTCCCTGACTGATGCCGTCAGTGTTTCCCCCCTTCGAACTTGGACCACTCCTCGACCAACCGGCACGCGGTTCGAGTGGAGATGACCAAGGAAGCTTGTTCGACCCATGGACGTTCATTGTTGATTCGACCTTGTTCAGCCTCTGGGTGTGAACACACCTTTTTCGAACATCTGCCCAGATGAGCGTCGCTTTTTTTTGCCTGGAAATCCAGTGGCTAAACGACAATTCTACGGTTTGATTGCCCATTCTCTTCTCCCATCGTTCTGTTTAGACACCACTTATTTTCCAGGGGTTGGCCAATTTCTTGAAGAGAAGGATCCCTGAAGAGAATGGGGAGGGTACAGCTAGAACACTGTGGCCCCAGACATCCATTGGAGCAACTGGTCTTTGAGGCAGCAAATCTGGGTCACCCTTTCACCGAGCCCAACTTTCACTGCACAATTTGGGTGTTGCTGCTTTCGAGTTCACTTCGCCGACCCCAGCCACTCAGTGGATTGCTTCCTTGTTTCATCTTTGTTGGAGACCCCTAGTGCCAACTTTTGAGGGGGGGGCACCTCAGACTTGCAGTGGATTGCTTCCTTGTTTTGGGGGAGGCAACGTTCCTTAAAACCGACTTTTGAGGAGGGCGAAACCTCAACATGGTTTTTTTGGAGGGGAGCCCTTTGAAGCCAGCTTGGGACCCGGTCTGGTACGGTGAGGTTTGTGCGCGTGAAGTACGACGGCACCGTAGAGCAGTCGCCGGTGGTCATGGCATCTTTGTCACCCATTTGGAGCGCCTGGGCCACACTCAAAACGGGGACTTTCCGATGTATTGGGACCCCCCGTGCGTTTAAACCCGCGAACTACCCTTAGAAGTCGGCTATTTCACCAAATTGATGGGGTGAATTCCCTTTGTGAAAGGTAGTTTGAGGGTCTAGGTTCCCTTTAGTTGGTGGCTGCTTTTGGCTTCCACTTTTTTGCCCAAGAGAAAAAGGGTACCCTGAAAGAAGCATGCTGCAACATGGAATTGGGGAGCGACCCTCGTGCACCCCCAGGTCAGGTGACTCAGGATTCATATCATATATGAAATGGGGGGCTTCCCTTTGGGTCGGGTTTTGAGGCATGCGCACATGGGAATGTATTTCTTGAGGGTACCCATTGGTGTTTGTTTTTTGTGTTTTTTTGTTTTTTGCCGAAAGGGGCACCAGGAGTTTTGGGAGTCCCACTATTTTGTGATCAATCCGCATGTGCCAGAGAAAAATCGCGAAGCAATTCCAGGATCTTGAGACAACTTCTTGGGGTGTAACCACACGTCAAATGACCTCCGACTTTTGGAGACACTTGGGGGTCTGGGGATTGGAGTTTGATCCTTGAGGCATCAACCTCCAAAACCTGCTGCTTGCGTGGTGTAAATAAAGAAACAAGCTGTATTTGGAGCTTTTGTGACCCTGTTTCCCCCCCAACTTCCATTTGCTAAAGAATGTTGTTTATGTTCCCCTGTTGGTTTTGAAGGGAATCTATATCACTACTGGCAGTATCTTTTTCCAGGCTTAAGCTAATGGAAGCTGTTGCTGATTTCCCTGTTGATTTTAAAGGGACTCTATCTATTTCTACTGTTGCTTTCCTTAAGCAAATGGAAGCCAACGGACAATTCGCGGACTGAGATCACACCTTCTACCTGCCGGTGCGCTTCACAGATCCTTGCATCTACAAGGATCAGGCGCCTGAGCTTCCATGCACTTCAAGCGGCTGACCGGGTGCAGAAACCGGCCTTGATTGGGGCGTGGGAGCCAAGTGGCTTGACCCCCCAAAAGGGAACACACCGCCCTAGTCAACCGGGGGAGAACTTTCCGAAGTTCCCAGAATTTGTTGACAAGCTTCAAGCTTGTGGTTAAGTGTCATGAAGGGCATGTTCTCGTCAGGGCTCGCATCCTTTTTTTTTCTGAAGAAGACTGCGCCAAAGACATCACGTCACATCTCCCGGCTTGGGCCCAACTTTGCTCGCTTTGGGTCCTGCGGGGTAGCAGAGAGCGCGCGAGAGAGCCCCCTTCAGTTCAGCTTCATTTCAGCGAGCCGGTGTCCTGCATTCCAAAGCCTTCAGTTCAGCTCTTTCGCTGAAGAGCCGGTTTCCTCCATTCCAATTTGCAGCCCCGAACCCCCGGGTGTTTGGGACCTCCAAGCCTCTTGCGGCTCACCGAACCAAAACTGCCGGGGCACGGGGCGGAGGGAGCTCCTGACCTGTCACACTGGCCATGGGTGATTGCCCCAGACTTGTCTGGGGGCAGGTTTCTGGGGGTTATCAACGTAGAAAAAGGAATCGGTTGTTTCCCTCTTGACTATTGGGTTGGATCTTTAGGCTTTAACTTTTTGGAAATCAAGGCGTTTTCCACTAACCCCCAAAAAGTTAAAATATTTGCAGGGGGGTCAACAGCACCTAAGCCCTTAACTCTCCACTTAGGGATGACTTTGATCATGTTAAAATAATGAGGCCATATTTCTGAGTGAATTTGAGCGTTTGAGGGTCTAGGTTGACATACAACGCTGGCTTGAACCACGGGCAAAAACAAGGCTTCTTTGCGTCTTGTCCGCCAAAGCGCCCTCAAACCCATGAACATGTGCAATGACTAAGCTGAGGGTCCAGGCAGTGGCCGCCGGGGAGGTTTTTGCTTTTGTTCGCTTTGGTCCGCGTTTGTTCTTGGCGTGGTGAATCGCCGATTTGCAATTTCTCATGTAACCCTTGGGTGTTTGGATTGGTCGATTTGGAGATTTGGATTTGAACCGTGCCCTACGGAAACCAACTAGTAACTAGCAGGATACAGGGGGAACCAGGGATACGGGAGGATGGGTCTGGAAGAATGCTTTGACTTTGCTTCGTCCCACCACCAAACCAGCGGTCTCCACCAATCGCAGCTGAGATCCGATAGATCACCCAACCTCACGCTGCAAACTCACCCATCCTCACGCTCCGGGCTCCACCACTAATCACAGCTGAGATTCGATAGATCAGCCGATTTTTGCCGATTGTATTGCCTAAGTTCCAACCTTTTTCTCCTTTTTTTTTGTGGCTGGGTTTGGGTCTGGAAGAATGCTTTGACTTGGTTTCGTCCTCCCACCAAACCACCGAGCCAGATCGGTCTCCACCAACAGCTGAGATTCGATAGATCACACAACCTCACGCTGCAAACTCACCCAACCTCACGCTCCGGGCTCCACCACCAGTCACAGCTGAGATTCGTTCGCCAGGCCTATAAGAAGAACATCTTCCCCGAGGAGATGAAGTCCAAGGGCTACCTGGAGCTTGAGATCTGGCACTGGGACGGGGCTCGGGCCTCACGAAACTCAAGAGAAAAGTGCGTCGGCCAAGAAGACGCGGTTCCAAAAAAGCAAGGCCGGCCATCCGCTTGTGTGTGTGTTTTTGGTGCTGTTTGTTGTTGTTTTTGTGTTGGTGTTTGTTGTTGTGTTTTTGGTGTTGTTTGTTGTTTTTGTTGGTGTTTATTTTTGTTGTTTGTGTGGTGTTCTTTGTTGTTTGTTTGGTGTTGCTTGTTGTTTTTGGTTCTGTTTGTTTTTTTGGTGTTGTTTGTTGTTGTTTGTTGTTTTTTTGGTGTTCCTTGTTGTTGTTGTTGTTTTTTAGGGTGTTCTGGTGGTTTTCACCACTCAACAAATCGGTGGGCTATCCGCTGCATCTGCTCAGTTTTTTGTTTGTTTTTGTTTTCGGGTGTGGCAGTTCTCCACACCATTAAACAAAAAGTGTTCAACTTTTCGCGGGGGATCTGGGAACCGCCACCAGAACAAAAAAAACAGTGGCTTCCTGTTGATTCCCCTCCAAACCCAGCGAAGAAATGGTCGCCTCAAGAGGGACACGCCCTTGCCAAGCCGTGGGGCTTTGCAGATCTGCAGACTCAAGCTACCCATCTACCGAATTTCAGGGATCGCCATTGTTTCAACTCGGTTTGGCAAGTTCCTTTGATCCACGTTGCGCCCCTTAGGGAAGTCGCCCCGTTTTATCCGGAGCCGCGTAACTTTCCTGACCCCAGGCCTCAAAACCCAAAGGCCCGGAAAGAAAGCCAGCCATGGCTCAAAGTCATTGGACACCTTGGGTCCAAATTTGGCAAGTGAGTTGCTTCCGCCGAACCTGGATCGTAAATGGGAAATGAACTTCGCTTTCCTCATACTTCGGAATGCATGGAGAGTAAATGGGAAATGCATGGGCCCAGGAACCATTTGGAGGGCCCAAAAACCATCCGACCTGGAGCCTCGGGGCAGGTTCCCCGCCGCTTGTGACGCAATCGGTCGATCGAGGTGCCCACCGAGTTCCTGGGATCCTTCAAGCTCGACCTCCAGCAGGTCCGCCCGCCTGGAGCCGCCAAACACCCCCCCAAAAAAAACAAACAAACAAACAAACAACCAGCAAACACGAGCCCCAAACTGTCCATAAACATGGACAACACCACCTAAGATGGTGCCCACTACCCCGAAACCACGAAAAAAAACCAGGGGGTTCATGGGATCTGCAGCCTCTAGGTTGGAGCTGCCCAATTCTGCGGCTGCCTGAGAGGGAGCTCCCAGTTTGTCAGTCCCCAATGTGAACGAGGTTTGTATCTGGGAGGTGTCCTAACTCCTTCATGGCTCCCACCCCCAAACCACAACCCCTCCAGGTAAAATGGGGTAGAAACCCTCTACCTCAGACTACTCAAAGTGGGGATTGCTCAAAGTTATGGGGCGAATTCCCTTCTTTTGCGTAGTTTGAGGGTCCGGGTAGCCATTGAACCCTCAAAGTTATTGGTTTGGAGGGAAGGCGGGATGGCTGGGTGCTCTATCCAGACACCCTCTTGGGCCTGAGCGGTTTTGGAGGGTTGCAGTGATACACACCCTGCCCAGACCAGACCCCCTCTTTCCCTTTTTGAGGGGGTTGTCCTTTAAAATCAACCATGGTAGTGGGATCAAAGGGTTTTTCTCACTTCTGTGATACAAGGGAATCCCCTCTTTATATGAACAAAACCGTCTTTGGGAAGCCCTTTCTTTTGTATCGCAGAGTGGATTCCATTTCCCAAAGCCCTGAAATCAGCCAACCGCTGCCTAGACCCCTCCTTTTTCCTGTTTTAGGGGGTGTTCCTTGAAAACCAACCTCAACCAAATCAGCAAAGAACGCCGGTGTGACCACGGTGATTTTCCCATGGACACCCACCCCCTACTCAAAATACCCGCTTTTTTCCGGGATATTTTTTGGAAAACCTGAGTTTCCATGGTAAATACCTCCTTTTTTAGTAGAGGGTCGACATCATACCCTGAAAAAAGTGGGTATCGGGCGTAGGGGGCACACAAATCGGCCTGGCCACCGGCGCCCAGCAAGCCGCCAGGTCCGTTTCGGGCAGCAGACGGAGCGGGCCATCTGCCGCAACGTGACCAAAGCCAAGCCGCTCGGCGGGGGGCGTTTGTGGTTGGCGGCTTGGGCAGGTGGCTTGGTTTTCCCTCTTGGTTTTAAAGGGAACCGATTTCACTACTGGAAATATTTCCATTTTTACTCTGTTGGTTGGTTGGTTTTGGAAGGCAGGTCACTTCTTCTTTGGGTCTTAGCTCAAATGATGGGCTAGAATGGTCGTGTTGGTTGGAGCTTCTATGTCAGGCTGAAGTGCAAATTCCGCAGGGAACCAGGACTAGTCCCGGAAAGAAAACAACACATTTTGAGGGTCCGAAAACCTACAAAAGAGAGGGGCTTGGAGCCATGGTTGTTGTTGGGAAGCATTTTACATTTTTGCTTATTGTGGTTTAGTGGTTGAAATCCAACCACTTAACTGCTAAAATTTGAAGTTGTTTGCTCCCCAAACCCAACGCCAACCAAGGAGCGATCACCAGGCCAACTCAAGTTAGCAACCACCTAAGAGGCACAAATCCTGCCGCCTTGGCCCTTAGTAGGTTGTAGCCCTAGCCCCTAATCACCCAAAAGCTTGTGTTGTTCGTATCACGTCAACTGACTAGAGGAGGATGTACCTGGTTCAAACTGCCCTTAAACATGGGCGATTGTATTGCCCAAGACTTGTGGGGTGTTTTCCAATTTTTATGGTTAGCTTGAGGCTTTTTGTGCCAACAAAAGAACAGCCCGCAAGCCACGCCCCAGCGCCACTTACAACTGGCAATAGCCTACTATTGGGCGAATTTCTACACCATCTAGCAAACCCTGGAATGAGGATGGCCCTGTAAATGCATACCAACAAACATCGGTATGCTTTGGTATTCACAGGGCCATTGTTTGTTGGTATGCCATCCTCATTCCAGGCTTTGCTAGATGGTGTAGAAATTTGTTAATGAACAGTAGGCTATTGCCAGTTGTAAGTGGCGCTTGGGCAAGTTTGGTATCTGTCCATGGTTACAACCTACCTAAGCCGGTTGAACATCCAAGCACCCCCCCCCCCCAACAAAAATCACGTGAAGCTGAAACCGCTAATCTCGACTTGGGTTGTTTCAGAAGGATGAACCCACCAAAATGGAAGGCTGCAGTTTGGTGTTCCTTTGAACTACCCCCTGCTTGAGATGCCATTTGTTCACGGTATTTTTTGGGGAAAGCCGATCGGTTTTCCATCTCGAATACCGATCCTTTTCAAGTAAAGGGTAGCTCCATGATGCCAACTCAAAATGGCGGGTATCGGGTGGTTGCGGGGCTAGCTTGAACATCAAGTGTTGGCTTCAATTTCATTGATCATATTTTGTTATTTCCCTTTGTTGGTTTTACTTCCAGGGGGCGAAAAGCAAATCTAGGTCCCCCAGTATTGCCCTTTTACCCTTTTTTGGTTGGGAGGGTTCCCCTATTAAAATGGACCACAGAAAAAAGTTGGTACCCTTATTCTAACCTCTCAAATCTGGAGGACCTAGTATAGGTCCCTTTTTATGAACCCATGGGAATCCATTTCGGACTCCAAGGAAAAAAGGGGCCTGATTTCTTTTTAATTCAGCCATGACTAATGGTGAATTCACCCAAGACCTAGAAATGTAAGCCTTATTCTAACCTCTCTGGAGGTCCTAGCAAAGCGGGTATTTCTCGCGAAAATGCCCTGAAAAAAGCGGTTACTTGGAGCAGGGGGTCAGTTGGGGTCAGGAAGATCGAGAACTCCAACGAGGACGACAAGGACCGCGCCAGGGAGGACGACGGAGACGCGGCCCGGAGTGAGAATTATGAGCGGCGACGCGGGACGCGTGTGGCGTGTTGGTGTTTAGGAATCGGAACCCCCCTCCCCTCCAAAAAAGAGGAAGACAACGGGTTCGGGTTTTTGGTTGGTTGCCCCGCCCCCTCCCAAAAAAATGAAAGAAAACAAGGAGAAATAATTACTGGGTTCGGTTAGCCCCCCCAAAAAAAACAAGGAAAGAGAAGAAGAATAATAATTACTGGGTTCGGTTTTCCGGTTGGTTTCCCTTGAAACCACAAAAAAGGGTGCCGAGCTTCAAAACAAGACAAACCTATATTAATGTTTGCACCTCGACTTTGAAACTACCCATAAAGAATCGGGGCGCAACCGGGGGGCAAAGCCAGCGCATCCGCGCAAGATCAAAGTGATTGTGGGATTCCCTTTGTTCGGTTTACATGAACAGTGATTTGCAACCAGATGGTTTTCAGCATGGGCCATTTCAAGTGGGGGGTCGAAGGGGAAATCTATAGGGAACCCATGGCTCCCTGAGAAGATGCAGATCCCTTTATGGCTGTTCGGTAGGATCTTTAAATTTAGAGTTTGACTTTTTGGTTGAAGCCTAGTGGACGTTCCATTGCACCCACAAAAAGTTGACAGTGTTCTGCGGGGCAACAGAAACCAAGATCTCAATTTGTTTATGGCGCCGAAATGGGAGCCGAGTGGCATGGGGCTCAGAATCCTGAGGCTCACTTTGGCCTTCGGCTTAGGCACCTGGGAGGTTGATCAAAATTTTGTTTGGCCCCAAATGAGGGTATCATCCTGGTTTGCCCAATTCCATGTAAAGGACCTTCTGACCAACCCACCTATTGTAGATTGTATCTGGCTCGCCAGTTGTCCTTTTTGGGTTTCGTTATCTTTTCCCTTTCCAGCCTTGATGCTCCCAAATAGGGTCGGATTTGTCCTCATGCCCGAAAAATGCGAATAAGTCAACCATACTCAACCAGAAACACATGGTAGATTATGATAAACCAAAGGCGTTCTTGTTTCCCGAACGTACGCCCCAGCTGGTTTATTGGCCTCACGTTCACTTCTGGCTAAAAAACAAGCATACCCCACAACGTCCAGCTTCTTCAATACACACCAACTAAACAAAGGGCTGGCATATGGAGCTTTCGGGGCATGTTCCCTCACTTGCCATATTCGGGGCATCCGTCATGCATTGCGATCTATGAAGATTTGAATCTGGCCCCCAGCCAGATTCCCAAATCCGGAAGAGGGCCTAGACATTTTGAGACCTCACTGATTTGGAGGTCCAAGCCCGAACCTGCCGTCCAGACAAGCTCAAGGTGTCCAGCTGCCAGCAACAGGCCTTCCCTCTCTTTTTTTGAGGCCACGGCCACCAACCCATTTGGCAGTCCAGGTGCCAAAAACAGGCCTCCTCCTTTATGTTTGGATTGGGGGGTGTCCCTTCCCAAAAACAACCTGCACCTCAAACTACCCATGCAAAAATGGAAATCACCCGAACGTCTTGGCCATTTTTACGGGTACCTGGGTGGTCCAGGTACCCCAAAAACCCGGCGCATGCCCCCCCCCGGTCTCCCCGGACCTCCACCGCGGTCCTCGGCTCCGGGTGATGGGGCGATCGATGGATCCGAGGCAACGGTGGGCATCGACCCTGCGCTGGCCAAGGTGCACACCACGCTGCTGCACCTCTCCCTTGTGGTGTGTTTCTTGCGTGTGGTGTTTTTTTACCCCCCCCCCCCCTCGTGGTGTTTTTCTTGCGTGTGGTGTTTTTTTTACCCCCCCGGAAGAAACTAGCCAGAAGCAAGGGGGGAAAAAACGACCCCCTAGGAGTTTGGGCACTCTTTTGGTGTGTGGAAACCAATCCAAACAAACCTAGAACGCCAAGTTGCGATCGCTTTTTTCAGTCACTGTTGCTGGTTCTTGGGGTAAAGTTCATGGAAAGAAGCTCTCGCTTGCCTGGCGATCCAAAGCACCAGCTACGGATCGCCAGACTAAAAGAGACAAACCGAGTGAAACGGCATTCGACTACAGGAGATAAAACGAGTGGTCCTATTCCCCTTTTTCGACGCCTGAGGTATGAGGGTCGCCGGGAGAAGATCACGGGGTCCTCCTTGGCCACCATGGCGACGCCCACCATCAGCTCGCCGGCCAAATCGAATCCCACCTTTCGGGGAAGAAATGGTGTTCACCGTCACCCGGTTAACCAGCCATTCGCCTTGTGTTTTTTTAGTTTCGGGCGGTTCAAGCTTTATTACCTACTACACAGGTCAAAAGGATCCTTGGGGGTTGGGGGTTTCAAGTTTTTTTTGTTTTTTTTTACGCATGGTTTGCTTTGGGACTTGTCTTGCTTTTAAGGGTTTAACCCACTAAATCACTATCAAACTTTGAGCAGGGGATCTGAGGACAGACAACTTCCGTTTGCTTATTCGCTTCATGCAAAAGACAAACTGTTGGTTTCGGTTTCAAAGGACCACCTATCACTATTGGATGTGCATGTTTGATTTTTTCCAGGCCGGCGATTTCAGCAAAAGGAGGACAGCTGAGCTGAGTTGCCCAGTGGTGCCCCTTTTTTTTCGCTTTTTGTGGGGAAGGAGGTTCCCCTGTAAAGTCAAGGTTGAAAAAACAGATACGGATGCCGATGCCTTTCTTTTCCTCCGATGGAAATCCACCGGGCTGAGTGGGGCTTTCCGCTTTCTGCGGCGGCTTTTCTCGTCCCGGGATGTTTTTTCTTCCGAGGCTTCGACTGCTACTTCCTGCCCGACTTCAAGCCCGCCCGGGCGCCCTTGTGTCGTTCGGTCGATCCAGGCCATGCCAGTGAGGCCCAGGAAAGGGAACCGAGCCAGCGGCTTGAATCCCGGGCGCCGTACTGGCCATGCTCGTTTTAAGGGAAATACGGTGGATGGCGGAACGAAACCCAGAAATCGCAGCACCTGAAAAAGAAAACGTGGTTGAGACCATGAAGTTGTTGCTATGTGCAGGGAAATCATCATTCCAGGAATGGTTTCTGAGTGCAGGATGTTGTCCATCCACAGTGTCACAGTATGTCTTGAACAGCCACACCATAGCTCAAGAAGGCCACGAAGAAGGTTCAACCCTTTTAAGTTTCTCTCGCCAGGGGAGTCAACAAGAATGCCGACACAGAAGCTTCACCTTGAGTGTCCTCACTTGCCTCGTTTTGTGTTTCAGGCAAAAACAAAAACGCATGGCTGTGGGTCAAAACTATGTACTCCAAGTGGAACCCTGGCAAGTGGGGACATGCAGTTTAAAACCTGCGGGTCTTTTTTTGAATATATATATATATATGTATATATTTCTACAAATATATTAATATAATTATTATATTAATATATATTATTTTGACCCATCATACCCATACATATATATATATATATACATACACGCGGAAATGTCCCGCCTTGAGGACTTTAAGTTCCCGGAGCAAGAGACCGCGGAGATCGCCTCGGAGCAGATGTTCGCCGGGGGCCCCGGCTCTGCTCGGCTCTGCTCTCCGCTCCGCTCCCTCGGGCCCTGGAGTCTTCCGGATGCCCCGCAGGGACGTGAGGCTTTGTTCATGGGTGTCCTTTTTGGTTGTTTTGAAAGAAAGGTGTCCTCATCAGCATCAACATCATCATCATCATCAGCACTTTTTGGTTGTTTGGAAAGAACCATAGATGGCGATTCCTGGCTTACCTGGCGGTTTCATCATCTACCAGGGAAACCCATCTATTTACCCTAAAGGACACCTATGGCTCTGTTTCTTTCCGGGCGCGGTACCCCGATTTTTGTGTTAGGTTTGAAGGGAAACCAGGTCTAGGTGCCCCAGCTAGGTGCCCTTTCTCACCCCTTTTTTGGGGGGAGGGTTGCCCTACTAACACAGACTACAGAAAGAAGTTGGCACCAACTTATTCTAACCTCTCTACTGGAGGGCCTAGTCAGCTTCATTCCAATTCGTGGTTTGGAGCCCCTTGGTCTGGTCAGATATCCCAGATGAGACAAAATGATGGAGTGTTGTTTGCTTTTTGGTGTACCCAAAATGTTCAGGTGAGCCTCTTGGTGGTGAAGGGATTGGTGGTTTGAATTTGAACCCCTGGTGCTTGTAGATGGGCAACCCAGACTTCCAAACAACCGAGCTCCCAACCACCCTTGGGAAGCTGGCTGGGGGGGTCGCTTCCTTGTTCCCTTTCGTTTCAAGAGTTGTCCTTTTATAATGGACGAAAAAGCACGTGCTAATTCGTTTCCTGCGGGGGGGGGGGGGGTTTGGGTCGATATGTGGAAATCCATGGTAACAATTTCGGCATTTGGTGCAGAGGCCCTGACACCATAAGCTTCAAAACCAGCAGCTTTGTTTGCTTTGCTCCGTCGAACCTTGCCTATGTTTGCCGGCGTAAAAAAAATACATGTTTTTTTTTTTTTCTTGTCAGCTGCCAGCATGATACTTCAAAAGCAAGCTGGGGTATAGTAATTGCAAGTAATGGAACGAGGACATCCAATTCTCTCGTCTGCTGCATTGTTCCCGCGGTTTTGTGGTGCTGCATGTTTGGTTTCAGTGCTTTTCTTTGTGGAGCATCCACCTGAAATACCCCCTGAAACAAGGAAGTGGAGGGACGTGGTGGGAAGGGGGATGTTTTTGGTCCAATCATACGGTGGATGGTTGCAAAATCTGCCTTTCGCACCACAAAAGGAAACCATGGGCTGGAAACCATAACGTTCATTGGTGTTTACGTTGGGGAATCGAATCAGAAACCAGTTGAATCATCATAAATTCCACTTGGTTTCTTAGAACGGGTGGCAGGTGCGAGATTTGCGGATTGCGCCACAGGGCTCCTTACAAGATACACTGTGCCCATTTGAAACATGGCTTTTTCCAGCAAGAGAAAGGAAACCCACCATTTACAAGGCAATGTTCAGGTCCTTAGGTGTACAATGTAAGGATCCCTGATCCAGATTATGAATCTGTGAGAATTGCTTTTGGAGAAGAAATGGCCAGGTCTCCTTTTGGCTTCTTTACACCCAGTTGGTGAAATGAATATGTTTCATGTTTCTTATGTTCCTTTGTTTGTTATAAAGGGAATCGATTTCACTACTGGAGCGATGTTCTTCTCTTTGTTTCCAGGGGCGGTTTCAGCCACCCACTTCCTGATCGATCAGAATTCCATGTCTAGTTGCCTCTGATCCCGTGACTCCACCTCCCACTACTCGGCCCTCAATTTACTTTCTAAAGGGGGAATTCGCCCCCATCATGGGGCAACCCATTTTTGTGGGCTGTTTGAGGGTGGCAAGCATCAAACTTGTTGTGGGCAGTCTATTCCGTCAAACCTTGTTTATCTTTGCGTGTGGTAAATACATATTATTTCTAGTCGTTGGCATGGATACTTTAACAACAAATAGGATATGTGTACCCCGTACTCACCCACTTTGTTCAGGGGTATTTGTTTTTGAAAAACCTGGTTTTCTATGGTAAATACCACACCTTTTTTAGTCGAGGGCCGACATCATACCCTGAAAAAAGTGGGTAGTGGGTGTAGGGGGTAGGGGGAATACGTGCAAACGAGGAACAGGACACCGAACCACAGCTCAGTTGGCGGGGCTCATGTGCCGCAGGCGCCCGCCTACCGACGCTTGGAGCCCAGTCGCTGGCAACTTTTTTTCATGCTGTTTCCAGCAATAGGGGTTGATCAAAATCATGGGGGCTCCCCCGCCCCAAAAGGCCCTAAACAAGGCCTTACTAAGGGCTTAATAAAGGCTTATTGGGGCTCCCTCCCCCACCCCCCCTCCCCCCCAGCCCCCATGACAAAAGGTCTCTAGAATTTCATAGAGGAGTCCTCTATTTCAACTAGGTGAGTTTTCAACCGGCCCCAGTGTGTCCTTTAAGGGACCCTATACTCATGACGGAGCAACTAAGCTGCCGTGCTTTGCAAATCAATTTGCGGGAGGTATTTGTCCCGTCCAGTTGCTTGTGATATATATATATATATATTATCAGATTGTTTGTCATGCTGCCCCCAAGTACCTTCTGAAAGGCCATTCTCAGGAGGTGCTTTGGATTTTCTGTCTCCTGAAGACATCCGAAGACCGAGTGCAAGTTCACCTGGCGGTTCGCACTCGGATTTGCAGTGCTGGGACTCGGTACCAGGAGACCCTTCGAGTGCTCCCCGATGATTGGTGCTTCAAAACGCAACCTTCACATGGCTCAGGCTGGACCGATGTCTTCCTTGAACTCAACGAGGCCGGTCATGCCCAACTCAATGCTCACTTCCTGAGCTGCTGGTTGCTTCATACTTGTTTGAGAACACTATGACAACGGCACTTCCTGAGCTGCTGGTTGATTCGTACTTGCTCAACGGCACTTCCTGAGCTGCTGGTTGATTCATACTTGCTTGAGAAAACTATGACAACGGCACTTCCTGAGCTGCTGGTTGCTTCATACTTGTTTGAGAACACTATGATAAAGGCACTTCCTGAGCTGCTGGTTGCTTGATATTTGTCTATGACAACGGCACTTGCTGAGCTGCTGCTGGTTGCTTCATACCTTTTTTGAGAACACTATGATAAAGGCACTTCCTGAGGTGTTGGTTGCTTGATATTTGTTGAACACCATTTGAGTGGCGAGCTTTTCTCCAGTTGGTACTGTGGAAGGTTGCAAAATCCATTGCGCATCACTTGGAAACTATGGTTGAAGCCAGTGCTTCTTGGTATTTACAGGGGAATCATCATTCGAGGGTACCTTAGGTGGTAGGCGGTGGATTTTGTCCACCCACAGTATGATGCCAACCCTTTGGCATTTCCCCCGTAACGTTGGAACCTGCCGTTTGGAGTCGCTATGTCAAGCCTTGACAAAAGAAGGGATCGGTATCTGCCCTGGAACACCGATCGGCTGCTATCCAAAACGATACCAACAAATATATATATATATATATGCATATATATATATATACTAATATATATATATATATATATATATTTATTTAAGAATGAAAAGGCAACTAGAGCAATCCAACTTGTTGCCCTTGATTCACTCAGCTTCCGCAGCCCTGTTTGGTTTGGTGGTTTGCCCCTTTTGTGTGGTGCTGGGCTGGCATCCCATCCCTCAAGGAGCACTGGGGGGGTACCTGCTTTCAGAACCCATCCCTTGCCATCCAACTTGAAGATGTTGCGATATCGACGGGAACCCTCAGGGCCACCTTGAAGATTTCCTCACGATCGAGCGAGCCTCAGGGTCATCCGCCTTGAAAAAGTGTCCTCGCGCGATCGATGGACTTGCTCCCTGCTTTCGGAACCCTCGTTATCCGACTTGAAGAAACTTCCGCGCGATCGGTCGAACCCATCCCTTGGCATCCATATTCGACGACATTTCCTCGCGATCGATTCAGATCGATGGACGGATCGCGCGATGGCCACCTTGAAACAACGAAATATCCTCGCGATCGATCGATCGATCGAGATCGAGCGAACGGATCGGAGCGATGGCCAGGCCTATCAGATCTGGTTCCCCGACTCCCCCAGCAAGCGGCGCTGGCTCTGCAGCTTCACCGACACGCGGGGAGCCCCCGGAACTCGGAGCTCGGAGCTCTTCGCGCGGGGGCGCTTTTTCACGCGCCCTGCGGCAGGGCGTTTTTTTTTTTTTTTTTGGTTTGCGTGTGTTTAATTTTACGTGTCTTTAAGTGGGTGTTTTTGTTTCTCTTCTCATGGTCGCCGTCCCACGGAAGAAGAACAGGTTGGCATGGGTTTTAGGTGGTTTTGTCTGTTTACTTGTTTTTGACTTTGCTTCATTGGTTTATAGGTTCTTGGCACCGTTCTTGGCATGGGTCTTCTATATGTGGTTTGACGTGGTCGCGTCAACTTTGGAAGAACAACGGGGCTTGTTCCCTTTAACTAAGGGTGACCTTGATACTAGTAACAATCATGGGGCCGGGAGGTGGGAAAGGAGTCAGGCAGCCCTTGGTGGTTGGGAAGAAGGGTTTTACGGCCACTTTCTGTGACACGAGCTGGGGGAGTTTTTTTTTCATGAGAGGGAACGCCCACTAAGTTTGGAGAATCCCCTAGCACAAGGACCCCCCTAAAAAAGATGGATGCTTCTCTTAGTTTTCTTGTTGAACAACTCCCAACGAAGGGTACCAACTCGTGAAAGTTGCTCCACCACGAAAACCGGGCCCCGCCCTGGGGCTCCAACTCGTGAAACTTTACTTCCATTTGCTGAAACGAATCTTTGTTCTTCTCCCTTGGGCTTTCCGTCGCCAAATGGACGTTCGAAAGCACCAAAACGACGAGCCACGAGCGCGCAGAGCCCGCTTTAGGTCCGGCACCGTGCTGCCGCTGCCGCGGCTGGTGACCCCGCTGGCGCTCCCCGCAGACCTGGCGGCCCGGCTGCGATTCGCTTCGTTCGAAGCAACTCGATCAGCTTGCCACGAGGTTTTTTTCGGCGGAAAGGGACTGGGACTTGGTGAACTGGTTGACGGTTTAGTGGCTTGGTTTTGCCGTTTTAGGGGGGTGATGGGCAAAAGATGGACGGACTGTTTGAAGGTTTGGTGCTGTGGTTTTGCCATTTTAGAGAGGTCACGAAGAAAGTTTGGGCACTTGGAACTTTTTGAACTGTTTGAAGGTTTTGCTTTTGCCATTTGAGTGGGCAATCAAGAAATGGACATGTGTTTGTCTTGGAAGGTTAGGTTTTGCATTTCAGAGGGGTCATGAACAAAAAAGGGACCTTTGTCTATTGCCAATCCGGGAAGCGGACTTCAGTCACCTGCGGGGTGTCGGGTCCTCAAGTTGGTGAACAAACAGTTTGGCTTCTCTCGGCCCATCCACTTGGGGCTTGAGATGATTTCTCCCTTTGGTGGCTCCACTCGGATCAGCCGCCTTGAACGGGCACTGAGCCAAATATCCTGCCGCGGCTGGCATGATCCAAGCGGAGAAGAGTGCCTCCTGTTTGTGTTTTTCTTTCCGACATGCTTCAGTGATTGCGACGCCACGTGCTTCTGCGTGATTTCGCTTGATGCTTCATGTCGTTCTTGTTTTATTTCCCCTTCTGATGAAGCCATTCGCTAGTGTTGACACATAGCTGCCAGCCTGGGATCCATGTCGTTCAGAGGTTTCAGTTGCACAGCCCATTTCGAGTTTGTTTGAGCCAGTTGTAGATGGCAACTATAGTTTTCAATTTCCCCAAACAGCTTCCAGTAGAGCATGGGAAGTCCTTCACTCTTGCGACACCCCATTTGGCACCCAGCTTTTTGGGGGTCTCTGGGGCAGAGTGGATCTTGGCAGTCACACCTGGGGTGATGGAAAATCTTTTCGAGCTGAGGGCTCCCCATTGACCATCCTGCACTGGATCAAGCACTGACCTCAGTTGCCAGGTGCGTCGCCAAGGGAATCTCAAGGTACCCTGTTTTAAGGCACCGTGTAGGGTTTCTCTTTGGTTGTACCGTTGAACAACCCCAAAAGGATACCCTCAACAAGGACAAGATTCGCCAAAGTTGAGATCCTTGGAACAGACATTCTTGTCTAAGAAGGGGTAGCTCTACACGCAAAGCCACTGGGAGGACAGCCAATGGATCCAAAGCACTCGACTTTTTGTATTATGTGAAGATAATTAGTGGTGGAGACCACTCGGGCTTGTCATTTTGCGGGCTTCCATTTCCCCGTTGGTTGCCCCGGTTGGTTTCAAATGGAATCTACCACTACTGGAAATACCACTGCTGGAAATATAGCTTCTTTTTTTTGGGGGGGGCTTAGGCAATTGGAGGTAAGGAACCCCTTTTCGAGGTTGGTTTCAAACCGAAACCAAGAGAGTAACCACCATTTTGGGTGTCCGATGCCCCACAAATTAGGGGCAATCACCCATTTCTGTGTGAGTTTGAGGGTTCAGTTACCCACTTCTTCAGGGTTTTGTTGTGGCAGCCGACGAACACAGGGATCGGTATTTATCATGGAATGCCAACTTACCCCCTACTCAAAATACCGCTTTTCCGTTTTTTTTTGGGGGAAACCTGGGTTTCCATAATCCATACCTCCTTTGTTAGTAGAGGGCCGACATGATACCCTGAAAAAGAGGGTATTGGGAGTAGGGGGTAAACAAAGAGGGTATTAGGAGTGGAGGGTAGGGGACACCCCAAAGCCGCCCGCCATAGGATTTGGATTCTCTCACGGTTGAAGTAGTTTTTGGAACCCCAAATGTACCCTTTAAGGCCAATGTCTAACCAGAGTTGTCTGGGTTCAAAGGAAAAGGGATCCAAAAGAGGGCTGTGTAGTCTCAAAATTGGGGAGGAGCGGGGGGTGAGTTCTTCTTGTTTTTCTTTGTTTTACGGGGTAATATATATTCCCTACTCCCAGACACCCACTTTTTCTAGGGTATTTTGTGACCCTGGGTTCCATGTTAACCACCGATCCAATTTGTTTCGTAGAGGGCCGAGCTCATATTACGGGGGTTCGAGGCTCAGGGTTCAGGTGCTTGGCTTACGAGGTGCATCGAGTTCAATGCACCGCCGCGGCAGAGGTCCATCCGAGGGTGAAAGCTGGGACTTGGTACCCCCCACTCCAAAGACCCAGCGCTTTTTTTTCTCCAGTTTTTTTTGGGACACCGCTCGGCTTTCCCATGGTACAGGCCTCCTTTAGAGGCTCGGCCTGATACCGACCGAAAAATGTGTTTCGATCCGGGCTCGTGGAAACCCAGCAGAGCTGCCAGGCAGGCTAAAGGCCAGGGTGAGAGGCACTGGGGATCGTTGACTTTCGGGGGAAGGCAGAAAATTTATTGACCCCGGTGCAATATGCAGAAAGGGTTCCCTCCAAAAGTGGTCTGAATCCCAACACTTCACTGGACACCCTATGAATCTCAACATCACTTACTTGAGGTTTAACATCTAAGCCCTTGCAGCTTTTCTGCCACTTGCTTAAGATTATTTTGTACTTCCCCCTTTTGGCTTTAAAGGGAATCTATCACTACTGGAAGTATTATGATTTGCCCCATGGGATTTAAACAATGGCAGTTTTCTGAGGGGAAGCTGTTGAGTGACACCTATCGCTGCTTTGCGACGATGTGTGTGTGTGTGTGTGCTGGAGAAGTCCAACTTGGGGACAATTGTTTGGCATAAGTGTTGGAGTTGGGTGGTAAATCCCCGAATCAGCACAAAACACAGTTGCCAAGCAGTGTGAACTCTTTGTTTCGTTTGTTGTCCTGTTTATTTAATTGTTTGATGTGTTTTTTTTTGTGTTCTTTTGTTCTCCCGCTTTTTCTTTTCTGCTTTTTCTCTTTTTGGCTTTCCGGCGGTCATTCAGCGGTACGTCTCAGTTGAAACGTCACTCGCGCAGGGCGTGCGGGCAGATCAACCTCTGGCAGACACCCAACGATGCCCGGGGACCTGAGCCTCATGAGCGGAGGGAACAGGAACGTCGAGTGCGCAGCGAGCCGGGGGGGAAGTTCCTGTCGAGTGCGCAGCGAGCCGGGGGAAGTTCCTGCGTTCTTTTCATCAGAATTTCTGGGCACCTCCCCAAACTACCTGGAGTCTCCATGACCGTTTCAAAAATGGGGGTCATTACCCAAAATAATGGGGTCATTGACCCATTTTTCAAGGGTCATGGAGATGCCAGGTACCTTTAAGAATTCACCCCCATAAGTTTGGGGCAATAGCTTCTTTTTTTTTAAGAGAGTCATTTGAGGGTGCAGGTAACAGGTATCTTTACTTCAGGATGCAGTGTATGTCTGTGGAAGTTTCCTGAAAAACGTTGCCCCAAACAGACTCAGCAAATACTCAAAAGACACGGTTGAGACACTTGAGAGGCTTTTCGCGGTCCAAATGGCACCATCCCTGGCCTGTCGCCCGATTTCCCCACTGTCCTTGTCCATGTGTTAGGGCCTGAATGCCGAGTGAGTATCTCTGAGAAAGTTCCAGGTCAGATTGCACCCAAGAGCCTCCATCCGTGCTTGGCTCGAAAGTGCATCATCCACTGTCCTTACAGCTCAGGGCTGTGGGATTTATGAGGGGTTAGTCTTGAAAAACCCCGGTTTGTTGTATCACAGAAGTGGTCATTTCCCACAGTCCTGCTCAGGCTCAACCCGCTTGAGGTCTGTTTCAGGGAACCCAAACACCGGGTTCTAGTCAACGGGGCTCCGATCGCTTACACGAATGTAGCATGGGAATTTGAGAGTTTCCCCAGCCAGCAACAAGCATCAAGTGCTGGTCTTAGACGGGTATCTCTATCAACCATACTGTGGATGGACGAAACCCTGCACCACTTGGAAGCCATAAGAAACCAGTGTTGGTATTTGCGCTGGGGCATCATCAGAAACCAGGGTTTCTGAACGGCGCGAGAAGCGGATTTCATCCACAGTCGCGATGTGGGCAGGAGCAAACAGTTACCTGGACCCTCAAAACTACCCTTGAAAAGAACCACACGTTTGGGGCAAAAAAAGGGATTCACCCAATAATTGTGGGGCAATACCCCGTTTGAAGGGTAGTTCGAGGGTTAGTTCGGTAGGCTGTTGAGCACATCCGCGTGCTGAGATCCTCGCGCTGCGGCGGGGCTCTGTGCAGGAGCCGAAACGCAGTGCTTTTCTTTGGTGCATTTTGCTTGGCTGTTAGGACTTTAACTTTTTGCCAATTAATGGGTTTTCCATTAAACCGCTAAAAGGTAAACTTTTAGCAGGGGAGCAGAAAGCAACCGAGTTTTGGTGGCAATGCAGGTGTCGGGTTCTAAACGTCGCGGGGGAGTCAAGTGCCAATGGTCGGAGACAGCAAGATGCTTACCGCTGCTTACCTCTTAAAACAACACAACTTTTCTCAACTTTTTGGGGGTAACATGTGCTATATGGCTGTAAAAGACTAACTTCCCCAGGGCTTGGAGTTTTGAGGGGTAAGAAATGGTCGGAGACAGCAAGATGGGATCTGGGGTCTACGCCAAAA